AAAAACCAAAAAAAGAGGCTACTATTACATGTTTTATTGACTGTTAAATAGCCAGAATAAGACGGGTAAGAATATGCTGGTTGTAAATGCACTTGACTCAAATTACGAGCTAGATCGATTTGACCTATTTCTAAATAAGATGTAAGAAAGAGCGACTCGCCGGGATTGTCATCTAGTGGAGGCGGTGCTCGAGGAATACTGACAAGTTGGCGACGAAGTAGATTAAATGCTCCAACACAGATTGATAAATAAAACAGAAGTAGAACAATAACAGAGAGTAAATTTAGGGAGCGGAACATGGTTTTTGTTGGTGTCAAACAAGGTGTGCTAATGTGTATGCACGAATTCGTGTTGCTCTCTTATCAAAAAATGTTGAAGAAAAGAAAAAAAAATTGTTCGTAATCAGCATATTTGCATAGACGTTTGCTCTATAACCAAACCAAGCTAGGTAAACTTTCAAGGATAAACCACATATGAAAACAAAATGAATCAGAAACCAACGAATTGCCCAATATGATAAGAGTTCATATAAATAAACCTAAACATCTAATTTGACAACAACTCGCGATAGAGACCGTTAGAGATCGATAGACATGAATTTTTCATCATAGCGAGTAGATAACCTTGCATGAAGAACACACGAAATATTCTTGAATCGTGTCGAAAATACTAAGTTCGATGAACCGTAGTGGCCTAGTCACGGATTAAGTAGCGACTATGAATAACACTTCGCTTGTTCTCCACAAGATCCTTTTAAAACTTATTTTTGCTTTGAGGGTTTTAACTCTTGAGACATTCGGTTAGAAAGAACTAAGGAGGGAACATTCCCAACTGTCACATCGCTTTTGAGTCGAGTGTATGCGCATCATGTAGACCCTAATGATTTATGAATTCTCTGAAAAAAGTTCGTGCCGCTAGCTTACTACTGCCGAGATGTTGCATTTTTACTATATGTTTAAGAAAAAAAGCCGTGGTCCCCCTCAGGAACACTAGGAAAACTGAGTTTTGAATTTCGACTTGAAACTTTGCACAGAGATAGGCCTCAATCAGAATAGTTTATTGTGAAAGTTTCAGCTCTTTTCGCTGTTCCTATCCTAAGATACAGCTATAGTAAAATCGCTTATATACACCAGCAGATTCCGATGTTCTTATTTCTGACTAGGAGCAATCAAAAGATCTGAAAGTTTCACAATAAATTATTCTCGTTGAGGCCTATCTCTGTGCAAAGTTTCAAGTTGAAATTCAAAACTCAGTTTTTCTAATGTTTCTGAGGGGAACCACGGCTTTTTGCTTAAACATACAGTAAAAATGCAATATCTCGGCAGTAGTAACCTAGCGGCACGAACTTTTTTCAGAGGATTCATAGATCATTAGGGCCTACATGATGTGCCTACGCTCAACTTAAAAGCGATGTGACAGTTGGGAATGTTCCCTCGTAAGAGCAAATGAGACCCTAATCGAGACTTACGAAAAAATAGTCATGGTGATTCACATGTCATTCTTTCTCATGTCCTGTGCTGATTCGACAGACTATCACAGCTGATAATGGTCGTCATACTCTAACAATTATTCCTGTCAATTCCGATGTTTCACAGAAAAAGAACGGACGCCACCAGAAGTAGTCCGAAAATACGTTGTGTCTAAGGTTTGAATATGGAGATGAAGGAAGATCAACACGTATTCATACTTCTACACATCCACACTCTCAACATTCTTAGAAAAATAAGATTGTTTCTTAAAAGCCTCAAATCCTACCAGAATTCTCTTATGATGCTGAGTCTTTTTCTGAATGCTTCATTATCCATCTAAATCTAATTAGTTTAGTTATCAAGGAAAAGACTTATGCGTACCAACTTTTAGTTATAGTATCAGGAATATTCTATGAGAACAAAAAATATAAAGAAAAAATAGTCTTTCCATAGAAGTGTAGTCGTAAAGCAATTCTTTCGCACTGTCATTTCTAGAGTTACAAACACGAGGCAGACTTGACTTGATTCAGAACAACATAACAATCATATTTGTATGTAATACCATTAATCAACATAATCAAACTTTTGAAGATACGCAAAAAACCAATTGATTGATGATGTTCTACATATTGTTCACGATAATATCTTCAAGGAGCTTCAAGATGAATTCTGAACAATTGATGATCTACAAATAATGATAAACATTTAAGAATTCTCGTAACTAACACAAAAGAAAATCAACTAAAAGAATCTTACAAATAGTATGTCAACACATTTTTATTCTCAATAATGTCTGACATACGTCATATACAATCGATAATAATACATAAAAGTATTGCAGTTCATTCTAATTTATTTGACTTCATCCACAAGATAAAACATTATATTTAACAACAAAAGATCGTTGAAAGAAAGAGCACAGGCAAAGAATCCATATGTTGATTCTTATACGAATTAAATGAATATAACATTCAATAAGATTAGTAATTTTTCATTCTTTTCATCTTTTATTCATGGTTTTGACGCCAATAATATAAATAAAATATTGCTCCTGGTAGTTATACAGAATTTACTATTGATCATGGTAAGAAATAATCTTACTGAACTTTTGACTGTGTTCCTAACTTAATTAAAAATAAGTAAATATTATTTTTATGTATAATACTAGTACAGTTATCTTCAACAATTGCGAAAATTGTAATGGTATTTTCATTAGCATAACTTTATGAAGCTATAAATTCACAATTGTTCATATAGTAAACGCTAGGGTACTAGTAGAAATGAGAGAGAAAAAGAAAACTCACATAATATACTATAACTAATATATCAAGCTTTTGAGTTGAACGCAATGACATACAGACGTTTATATTGTATTGATTACGAAAGAATCGCATAAGACAACAAAATCTAACCTTAATTACGAAGCAATAGTTTATGATAAGCGATATTAGAAGAAAACTTCTTGTTTCTATACGTTATTCTCGTCTACTATGAATATGAAATTTAAGCAAATAACAATGTGGAGTCTTTCTTAGAATAAACTATTAGCGTTGTCTTACAAAACAAAAGCTAAAGAAACAAGAAAAGAACCTTGATCATTAAATATTGATGCTACTCTTCTATTATGAAAAATGAAGATATGATAATACAAGATAAATGATAAGAAAATATTTGTTTTCTTTCCATTCTCGTGTTATCAGAGTAGATCCAAAAAATATAGTGTTCTCTGTTCAATCGGATAGCTTGTAGAGCTCAATAGTATAATGCACACTTCTCTATAAACTGTTCTTCAGGTTTTAGGTAGATCTTAACTTGAGAAAATGAACAGGCTCTTCATCAAAACAACAACTTCCTAATCCAAAAGTTCTAAAAAATTGTTTAACATCTAACTTTTGTTATTTCCTGTCAAGTCTTGAAAAAAAACCTATACAAATATTAATTGAAGAATAAAATTGAAAAGAGTTAAATTTGATATGCAAATAATCGTGATCACACAAGTGATTTAGTATTAAAAATCGTAAAAAGAAATTTTCATTATTGACTAATCCATGAACTCAATTCATTGGTATATCGAAAAGAATATCTTATCAAATGTTGTCTTTCTTATCTTAGTTTGTTTCGACTAACAAATAACTTAACGTACCATTCTTGTTCATTCTGATTGAGTCTACAAACCAAATTAAATTTTCTCATTTGTTATTTCTCTCATTGTTGCGGAACATTGATATGTTTTTTTTCAAGTGGACTGCCTAAGTTACTTAAAGAGAATCATTTATTATCACCATCGATACTTTATGTCTTACGGTTTCTTGAGACTGTTTATTATTCGCCATATTGGTATGGCTTTACATTGAAAGGTTTCATTTTTTTCGACTTCTTCAAATCAGAAACTGGCTGATCAAACCACATTTCCAAACTGAGATTGCGCAATTACAGTTTTTAAATGCTTTTTTTTTTATATTAAGTACCACAAAAAAAAACTTAAAAGTGTTGCGATAATATGGAGTTCAGACATATTTTACTTAGGTATAGTAAAGTGTGCTGATCATAGATAATGTTTATTGATACGTGAGATGTTTTTTTTTGACGTAATCTGAATAAGTATATGATACAAGCGAACGACAATTCTCTTTTTTAATTCACATCCGTTTTTTGAGAATAATCGATCAATGAATGATGTGCATGAAGCACTTGAAGAAAAAAGCGTTAAATAAAACATCGAATATAATAAAATCAGATTAGAAGAGAACTAAATAAGAAAGAAAGTGAATCACCTTTATTTACTTATCTGAACTCGTGTCTTCCAATAAATGATTAATACACAGAAAAACATAAGCAATCGGTGCTGCTCGTTCATGAAAATTTCACCATGGGTGTGGATCCATATGTGAAATTTTTATATTGTAACACCCACACTTTCACACTCATTACCTTTACATGTTCTTTGTTGTATATTATTTTATGAGATTATTCAAAAACATGTATTTTTTAGTTTGTCTTCTGATGACAAGGATAGTATGGTTATAAGACCACGATCCAATGCTAATTCAACTCGATGAAATTGTCTTAAATTATTTCGATGTCCTACACTGATGATAGTTGAATAATTCATTAGTTGTTGGATTAAGATCGAATAAAAATATGTTTCTGCTTGTTCATCCAACGATGATGTAGCTTCATCCAAAAACAACCATTTTGGTTTAAGATAAAGAATACGAATGAATGCCATCTTTTGTTGTTCTCCTAACGAAAGAATTCGTGACCAATCTTGAATTTCATCAAGACGATCAAACCAACATTGCATTTTACATAGATTTAAAATATATTCAATCTTTTTATTTTCTTCAGATGAGAACGATGTCGATGGATAAGTCAAACAGTTGCGAAGTGAACCAAGCGGACAATATGGTTTTTGAGGAAGAAAGGCTACGGTATCATTAATAGGAAAAGTGATTGTCCCCGATCCATATGACCATATTCCAGCAAGAGTTCGTAGAAAAGTCGATTTACCAGATCCACTTTTGCCTGTAAGACGAAAAAAAAAAGATATTCGTATCAAGTACTGTTTTAAACGTACTGATAATTCAATATGAATATAATTCAAATGGTGTTATAAAATGTTTAGTTTAGAAAATAGCTCGTAATGATCTGATAATTTATCTAGAGCACTTTGATGACACATGATTGCTAATAAATGTTAAAATATGTAACATGAATAAGAAATCTTCATGCTAGGTGAAAGTTCATGATGTAGTTTAGCTAATGAGACATCCTTTCATAAGTAGATTCAATCATTTCATGACTACATTCGTTAGTTAATTTTTGATCTTTATCAGAAAATTCCAGACTCACTTATAACCGCTCAAGAATTACAAGAAATGTATCGACTTGATCTAGTAATATATTTTAATGATATCAAATAAGATACAAAACCGATTGCAAGCCTAACGTAAGTGGTATCGTTGTTTTTTACCTGTGATGAGTACAGTTTGATGAGACTGGAGTATTAAATTGAAACGATTGATGAGAATCTGTCCATTATCTTCCCCAATTTTCAATGGCAATCGAACAGTTAACTCTTGAATTTTCATCGACTGTTCATTTGGTAAATAGACAAATTGAATTTTGGAATTTTGTTTAGCTGCATGTAATTCATTTAAAACATATTGAAATTCAATTAAACGTTTCGTAGCTGATCGCCATTGTACAATAGTTTCATATGAATTTGGTATAAATGAAAGTGCTCTATGTACATTTTCGAAAGTTACTGCTATTTGTGTCAAATCGCCAAGTGTAATTTTTCGAGAAAAATATCGTGGAGACGCAACAAGAAATGGAAAGATAATTGCTAACATTCTGTAAAATGCATTAAAAGAATTGAATATAAGTTTTCGGTGAATAATTTGACGAAAATTAAACATTATATCAGCATACAATGATGTCAGTGATGCCTTTTCATTTGATTCACTTCGATAAAAAGCAACAGATTCGGCATGATCTCGAAGACCAACAAGTCCATATCGAAAATTGGCTTCATAATGTTCTTGTACATATTTCAAACGAAATAGAACTCGTCCGATCAAATTAGTAATCAATGTACCTTCACAAAAAGAATCGAACTTTTATGTCGATATAGGATCTTAATACGAGAAAAAAGCGGGACCGTTTCAAAAGGATGACTTATCAAAATTATTAGAAAATTTTTTGTTAAATGTAGTATCGATATCTCAATCAATAAAATCTACAGAACTCTGCTTAAATTGTATTTTTTTCAATGAAAATAAACATTTATATTTCGAGAAAGTTTCTTAAAATTGTCGATAACTTGAGCAATGTGTTGCGAATAAAAGAAAGAATGTTTACCTTATGTCAGAAAAATTCATCTTCCTTGTCAGTATTTCCTAATACAGTAATTTTACATTCAATAAAGAAACTCTTTGATACTTAAAAAAAGTCGCGAGGATTTAGATTAGCCAATCACATGTATCTGTTTTACGTACTTGAAAGAAAAACGTTTGTTTTCTCATCGAAAAAAGTCTTCCAGCCTACTATTATTGCCTATTTGAGAAACGGCGTCCTATTTATATATTAAGAGATTTTCACCGATTTTGTGACGAAACATGATTCGACTTGAGGGTGTCGCTCGGTACTCTCTGTCTATACCCAATCACCCAAATCCTCCTACATAGTTGTTTCTGACTTTAATCTGCATAAGTTAATTGAATCAGTTTAATAATGATTTAACTCTTTGCAGAATTTTTTTTTGTAAATATGTCACTATGCTTGACACAATACTCTCGTAAGAAAGAGAATTCTTGTCTTTCAAAGGACGCTCTGAAGACATTTATCAATTATAGGAGGAGAATCAATGCAAAAATACTCTCAAATTTAAACAACTGTGTGTTTATTGAAGTATTAAGTAAGAGATTGTGTATTTAGAAAGAGATTTGTCATCGCTTCTTACCTAATCCAGCGTAGATAAGGGCAGACCAAACCATAACTCCTTTGATTTCAAATGAAAAATTTTGAGTAAGATTTATTTTGATTACGCCAGAATGAGACCAGAGCACGAAAACATAAGATATTAATGAAACAAATGAATTCAAGAGACCTATTAGTAACATATAGACATTTTCAACATATACATTAACATCCATTGATATTCTTTGATCTGGATTATCATTTGGATCATCTATTGTTGGACAATTATTTTTCAACAGTGACATTTGATAATAAGCATGTTTAGATAAATATTTACTAAGGAAATCATCAGTTAACCAACGACGCCAACGAAGTTGAAGTAATTGTGCTAGATATTGCTTGTAAACTAATACAATAATGATTCCGATAGCAATAAAAATGAAATATAAGAGAGAACGAAGAAAGGCTGATTGATCAAATTTTATAAACGTATCAATAAGATCTTTATTCCAGTATGTCAATAATACATTCAAACCAATACTAATTAATTCCAAGATAATTAAAATTAGAAGCATTATTCGAGCATAGATACGTTCTTCTGAGAAGAAGTACATACGAAAGAGACGCCAATTGTCGGTAAAACAAGAAGTCGAAGGACGCATTGTTTTTTTTTTCTAAAGTAAAATTCGAAAAAATAAAAATATGTTGAACAATGGTTAACGTTTATGAATTGCTCGTGGACAATTATCAATCTTCCTTTCATTTCTACAACATTTTCTTGTTCGCATACATACGTCATGAAAGAATTCCTTATCTGATCAGGTACTCATTCGGAAATGAATAACTGGGAATAGAAAATGAAAGATTAGACAGGATCGTTTACTTATTTCTATTGCTACCTTAATGACATTAAATTAGCTACTCTCGTTTAGATCAAAATGATTTGTCATAACTATCAGTAAGATAAAAAATGAAGAATCTTATCTTATTCTGTTGTGTATAAATGAAAATATTAACTACAACTAATTAATTTCTTTTCTCCTTTTAAATATATTCTCACTATTCTAAGTTCTATTGTTGAAATCAACAATTTCTTCTCTAATAGATATTTTTATTCGGTCGATCTCAAGTAATTCTATTGTTTTGAATAAAAAGAAAAGTGAATCTTCTTTCGTTTGTGATTTTGATTGAGTAGAAAGATGGGCCTACAATCATTAAGAGTTACGTTATAGAAACTATTTATTTAAATACGCTTTTTCACTTGAGGCATGAAAATTGGATTTTAAACGTGAGATAGGCCAATGTGTCGATTAACCTCTTCATTTCTTTGCTCTCATTCATTCACTATCTCATTGGTTGCACGTCATTTTTTTTCAATTCTTTTCCTTGTTTGTAGTTTTCGATTTCTTCGTTAATGTTATCACTGATTCAAAAGTCATTTGACGAATGATAGGGAAATTTCATCGATCAGAGAAAGGAACTAAAAGGTTATGTGACTAAGAACTTGAATATAAGAAGAGCAATTTGTTTACAATGATAGAGGGCTATCGATAAGGCATCAAACAACCTAGAGAATACATGTCGAAAGAAGTAAGGTAGAGCTTGATGTTTTCGAATTTTTTCGTGAAAACTTAACTGCTGTAACATTTTTCTTAAATAAAAAAAATGAAAATCTATACGATGTTTATCGAGATTGATCCAATTCATTAACTTATTATAGATGACGAGTGACGATCAATGCAAGCAAAATGAATTAATGTTGACTTCGTTTGATAAGTGAGTAAAGTAAATTCTCCGTGATTTCTCACTTCTATACGGATTTTTCAGGAGTCATAAACAATCAAAGAGTAATGAACTCAGCGAAAAAAAGCTGAAACTCAAACCAGTTTCATTTGTGAATTTGGTAACATTTATACGTGATTGAGTTGAAAATAAGTCTATATTTGTCATTTATTTAAGTTTCGATTTGCCAATCGAATAGATATCGCTTTATTAATACTTGGTCTCGTCGCTGCCTTCGGAAACGGAGTTATTGGACCTTTAATGCTATTCTTCTTGGCAGGTATTATCGGAACGTTCTCCAGTCAGCCAATCAATTTATGTAAACTCAATTATACTGCACTCAGTATACAATATTGTGAACCGGGAGTTCTACTGACATCAACGAACTATATTCAACACTCAACGTAATTCATTATTGATATCAAATTATTTAATTGTTATATATGTGTAATCTTTCAGCAAATGCAATTTAAGTGAAGCAATGAACGGTACTTTTTCGACGACTACGTTTCGACAACAACTTCATTATCAATCTTTATGTTTAATCGGTTTGTGATTAAGAATTAGAAGACTACATCGAATTATTGCTTATCTTTTTTTTTGTAGTCATCGGTGGTATTTCGTTCGTACTTTCTTTTATTCAAATAAGTTTATGTTCTTTGACATGTGAACATCAAACGAGACGACTACGAGAAAAAGTTTTTCATGTTCTATTAAAAAAGAATATTTCCTATTTTGATACACATACAACTGGTGAATTAACGATAATTCTTAATAGGTATTTTTCTAATTATCGAATAGAACAATTTGTACATTTTGTTTTTAAGTAATATTGATAAAATACATGATGGTATTGGTAATAAATTG